GCCCTGCTGTTTTGCCCTGAGCTGAAGGGACTGCATTCATCTGTTACTATGCTTATCAATATCGAAAAGGTGTCTTCCATCTACCAAGTCCTGGCCAAATGTAAGTCTCAAGATCTTATACCCCTAGACAAAAGAGCCACGTGGAGACTTCCCACATGGGTCTTTCCCTTGTGCCAGAAGCTCTGGTGCTTTTTATTCCTTCTGTATTCCTTTCTATCTAAGAAATCCTATCTTACTACTGATGAGCGGTCCATGGGTTCATTTTTCAAGTCTCCAAGACCAAGGACCTACTAAAGAAAGAAATTCCATCAAGAATTGGAATGAGGTGGTGCTTGTGGCTCAATGGGTAGGGTGCCGGCCCCATATACTGAGGGTGGCAGGTTCAAACACAGCCCTGGCCAAACTGCAACAACAATAACAAAAATAGCTGGGTGTTGTGACAGGCGCCTATAGTCCCAGTTGCTCAGGAGGCTAAGGCAAGAGAATCACCTAAGCCCAGGAGTTGGGAGGTTGCTGTAAGCTATTTCTTTTGAGATAGAGTCTCTGTCACCCAGGCTGGAATGCAGTGGCATGATCATAGTTCACTGTAACCTCAAACTCCTGGCCTCAAGCAATCTTCCTGCCCTATCCTCCTAAAGTACTAAGATTACTGAGGCAAGAGAATTGCCTAAGCCCAGGAGTTGGGAGGTTGCTGTGCCCAGCCTGTAACCTAATCTTGAACATGACATCCTATCAGTAGCAAACCACTAGATCCAGCCTACATGTCTACACGTCGGTGTAGGAATTACATAAGATCATAAGTACCAGGAGTTGAACATTATTAGAGACTATCTTAGAGGCTGCCAAGCATGGCCACCTCACCAGCAAAAAATGTAGGAACTTCACTGGAAGAAACCTTTTCTTCCTCAGAGCTATGCCCTCTTCATTTATTCATTCACTGTACAAATATTTATCAAATACCTATAATGTGGCTTGGCGCCTGTGGCTCAAGTGGCTAAGGCGCCAGCCACATATACCTAAGGTGGTGGGTTCGAATCCCCAGCCTAGGCCCGCCAAACAACAATGATGGCTGCAACCAAAAAATGGCCAGGCGTTGTGGCGGGC